TGTAGGAGCACACGTACAGTGCGATTGAAACTTTGTGGCCCATGCACAGAAGTCGGTATTTTGTGGAAGAGCCACACTCAAGGAGCCAAACAGCCGCATGTGGTTCGAGAGCCGCAGTTTGCCGAGCTGCAGTTTGCCGACCACTGGTCTTGTTACAGAAAAACGGGACAAGAACCAGACAGCGCTCTGAGAGATTGGAGTTACACTTTATTCACCGCGGCGGGCTCAGGGAAATAAATCCAAATCTAAGCAAAGCTACAAGCAGAACTTCCCTTTTTATAGAAGAGCCAGCCCTTTGTGTGCTTGCTGGCGGCGGCCTTGAAAATTATACAGTTCTATCCAATTAAAAAATGCATCTTGCATGGCATTGGGTGTATCTAGTCTCTGGCCTACAAGGTCAGATAGCTAAGTTTATCTCCCCCACTATTCAAGCAGGCTAGAAAGCAAAGTTACTTTTTCAGAATAAGAGGCCGTCCAAAGTATAGCAGAGAATTCCAAACAGTAGTTTTATAGAATAGGGGTCTTCCTTCACAGTCTAGTTAAATGGTATATTTCCAAAAAATTTCTCCAAACCTGTGTAGATTCCTGCTAGAAATATTAAACTGCAACATGGATCCGAGAGAGGAACTGGCCAGATTAATGAGGACCTTGCGCCTAGAGCCACACCATGCAGCTGTGGGCAATCAGCTAACCCAGCCACAAACAGCAGCCCCAGGCAATACCCTGGAGATAAGGAATGGAAGAAGAACAGGGCGGATGATGAACAGCCCAAAGATGACTTGGGAAATGATAAAAAAAAAGATGGTCCAGAAAGCTAAACGAATTTGTGAAGAGACCAGGATCCCAAGAACGCCTGAAAATGTCTTTCTTGCCATGCTGACAGTAACCAGCTGTGCGGTAATTTCACCAAGGGCTAGTGGGAATGTCCTCCCTGGGTAAAATCCCTTACGTGGACTAATCCCCCACCTTTCTCCAAACCTGTGTAGATTCCTGCTAGAAATATTAAACTGCAACATGGATCCGAGAGAGGAACTGGCCAGATTAATGAGGACCTTGCGCCTAGAGCCACACCATGCAGCTGTGGACAATCAGCTAACCCAGCCACAAACAGCAGCCCCAGGCAATACCCTGGAGATAAGGAATGGAAGAAGAACAGGGCGGATGATGAACAGCCCAAAGATAACTTGGGAAATGATAAAAAAAAAAGATGGTCCAGAAAGCTAAACGAATTTGTGAAGAGACCAGGATCCCAAGAACGCCTGAAAATGTCTTTCTTGCCATGCTGACAGTAACCAGCTGTGCGGTAATTTCACCAAGGGCTAGTGGGAATGTCCTCCCTGGGTAAAATCCCTTACGTGGACTAATCCCCCACCTCGTATAGTAAGTATATGGGCAAAGTATAATTATATGGGTGTCCTCACCCAGCCTCCCTTTTTTATATGACACAAGAATCAAAATACTGCTCCTTTGTATGTAGAATTAAAGCTGGCTAGCATCACACCAAAGGAAGGGGAAGCAAAAACCTAATTAATTACTATCACTGCTTCTGGGAGAGGCCAAGAAAATGTAGCATTACTAAGACCTCCCCCCACTAAGCCATTATGTACAAAATCTTATGAATGGCACCCACTAGCAGCAAACTTGAGAACAGTTTTTTCTTTTGTGGATTGAAGCCCCTATGGGTCTGCATATAGTAATAATCAATGAAAATCAGCTGCTGCAATTGCACCAGTAAAATGATACAGTTTAAAATAATAACTTCAATGAAAAACCATCTTCTTGGTGCTTAAAGTAAAAATAAAACCACCCTTGATATTTTGGAATTACAGCAGCATATTGTGTAATTATCCCAGGCAAACTTACAAAGTAATTCCTTAGATGCCTGGCAGCAATTTAAAGAAAGAATTTGCTCCTTTACTTTTGCCTTTTAGCATAACCACTATTACCTGTCTCATTCTTGTTCTTATTTCTTTAATTTTAGTCTGAAGATGTAGAATAAAAATCTTAAAAGAATTGAAACTCTGCAAGCGACATATCAACCTCTATTAAGAATTTAAAGACGGGGGAAATGCTGGAAACCAAGATCAACTGTATTTCATATAAATGTGAGGGGTCTGGCAGAAGGCTGACCAGGACTCCTTTTGATATTCACAGGGTGAATATTTACATTTTATTACCTGCTGCTGACTCAATGGCCTAAAGCAAACTCCCCCCAAACCTGACAATCTTACTGTTTACTAAACATTACCATTGATATGTCTATTTGCATTCCTAAAAGGCAGTTGTGTATTCTAGCAAATAAAAGCAGCTGGGAAGGGAGACTTAGGGAGAACTTGACTGCTATGGTTAAGTTTTCCTCTGGTTTTCCCCCGGTACAAAAAAAATTAATATTTCGTCTTGTGTGTCATTTGTGCGGCAGCTCTTCCTCCAAGCCTTTGAACCCCGAAAGCCACGCTGGCCGTGGACTTTCACAAAGGACCAGATAATTAAGGGAGGGGCAGTGACTTTTCAGGAATGTGCATTAGGAATGCTGATTAACTAGGTACAGAGTCCAGCTGCTAGTCTCCTACATTCTTTCACAAATGGAGTTATTGGCTAGCAAGAGTGTGCAGTAGAGCCCTGACCACTTTGGCTCAGTGGATAGAGCATCGGGCTGTGGCCTGAAGGGTCCCAGGTTCGATTCCGGTCAAGGGCATGTACCTTGGGTGCCACTGGGGATGTGCAGGAGGCAGCTGATCAATGTTTCTCTCTCATCTATGTTTCTGACTCTCTATCCCTCTCCCTTCCTCTGTAAAAAAATCAATAAAATATATTTTTTTTAAAAGAAAGAAACCAGGAATTCTAATTCCACATTGTATTTTTTGTTTTTGTTTTTTTAAAAGAGTGTGCAGTAGAAACCAGGTTACTGGAACAAAATCAGATTGCTAGCCCCAAAAATGTCTTATGCTCCTCATCAATAGAACCTCTGGACTCTGAAGCTGGGATGCACTCTGTTCGAGGGACCTGGTGGACATTCCAGACGTTCCCCTGCACCTTGATTCCCCAGCCGGAAGCTCTTTATTCTGGAAGCTCTGAGAAATGGTCCAACCTGCTTTTGAAATCTGCCCTTTCCTCTTCCCCTCCTCTGTCTCAGGCTGATGAGGAGATGAGGAGGAGGCCCATTCCTGGTCTCAGAGATTCCCTGGTTCAGAGAGTGGAGGAGCCATGGTCAGAGTTTAGGGATGTGCCCTCCCTTCCCTGAGCCCTTCGCCCTCTCCCTTCCTGTCTTTCCTCCTTCTCTATTTTTGTCTCATCCCCTCCCCCCACCCCACAATGTCAGTTAGCCCTACTTTATTCTCTAGGACAGGTCACCCTCCCTCTCCTCTGCTGCTCTGAAATCAGCTGACCTCCCTCTGTTGAAGAAACCTCAGCTGGTTCTGTGCTGGGAGGATGAGGAAGAATGTGATTGGCTCAGTGGGGGCCTTAAAAGGAGCTGCAATCAAAGGGATTCTGTAGAAGAGGCTGCTCCTCTGAAACACTTCTCATACCTGTTCCTCGCCATCAAGCCACAGCCCTCTGAAACCTGAACAGCCATGGTCTGCTCCAAGGTGAGTGAGAGCAAATGATGAGGGGACAGTAGCCCTGGAATCCCATTTCCCACTGTGTGTTTTTCCCCCTCTCCCACCAGTGCAGCCCCACCCTAGCTGATCTCTAGATTCATCGGGCTCTGTTCCATCCTCCTGGGCCATTGGGAGACCCCTGGAAGAAGGTTGTCATGAGAATGTGACCTGTATGGTCATCGTGATCTTGATTGGTTGAATGCTATCCTGGCACCAAACTAAAATTCTTTTTCTTTTTTTAAAAAATTAATTTCAGAGAGAGGAAGAGAGAGCTAGAAACATCAATGATGAGAGAGAATCATTGATTGGCTACCTCCTGCACACCCCCTAGTGGGGACGGAGCCCACAACCCGGGCATGTGCCCTTCAGAATTGAACCACCTGGGACCCTTCAGTCCGCAGGTTGACGCTCTATCCACTGAGCCAAACCAGCCAGGGCCCAAACTGAAATTCTGAATAATTCTTGACAAAGTCCCCACAGTTTCATTTTGTGCTCAGCATTTCACTTCATGTAGCAGCTTCTGGTTGTGGGGCCAAAACTCATGTCTGGGAGAGAAATTATGGGGGCAACTCTGTGTGTATGAGAAGAGGTGTGTGTGTGTGTGTGTGTGTGTGTGTGTGTGTGTGTGAGACTGAGAAACAATGAGTCTTATGGGACAAAGTGTTACTTTAACAATTAGACCTGACATATTTGTGGGAAGAGCTGGAGAATGGAGGGTCTATAGGTGAGAAGAAACACCAATCCCAGTAGACCCTTTATATCTTAATACCCTGAAGGTGGGAGGTGGGAGATGGGCAGTGCTTTCCTGGGAACTTAAAAATCCTCTCAGGTGCCTGGGCCAGCAGCCCAGTACTGGAATTGGCCTCAGTGTCTATTCCGGTCAAGGGCATGTACTGGATTTTTGTGGTGCCTTCCAACCTCCCCACTCCTTACCACCACCCCGAGCCCCACCCGCATCCTAACCATGAAGTTGGCTGATGCTCCAGGATGCTTTGGGATGGTGACCAAGGGATCGTGGAATCATCGTTGAGGAATAAAGTGATCCAGGGCTCAGTGACCAGATTGGGGCCATAAGGTGGAGACTCTTGAGGAAGTCTATGGGGTACTCCCTGCCTCGTTGGTTGAGCCAAGGGGTTAGGGGTGAAAGGGGCCTGGGGTGCTGTGGGCCTGCAAGGTCAGCAGTCAGGAAGAGCAGCTGGATGTAGGCACCGCTGTGTCTGTCCCCTCCTCAGAGAGGGATGGCCACTGCCAATTCCTCCCTCAGCCAACTCTCACCAGTACCATAGAGGGTTGGGTATCTGGGAACCAGATTGCCCTGCACACTCCAGAACAATGTTCATACTTGTACGCTTGTGTGCAATGGTGAGTGTGAGTGTGTGAACATGTGTACAACAGGTCTGAGGGTTGGTAAGTCATATAAGATCAATGTCACTGTTACCTCCACAGACATCCCAAGAAGATCATGAGAAAATGAGGAGTAAAATGGTAAGAAGCTCTTCCCCATGTATAGATAGGGTGTGGGCGGGGGCTTGGGTTTTACTGTGGGAGGCTAAGAATGTTCTGGCCCTCCTGGGGTCCAGGAGGGAGAAGGATCAGATCTCTTTGTCCCAACTCTCTCTCTCTTTTTACAGCTCAAAGCTGTAAACAAATTCTGTGATAAAGTCAACCCCAAAGAAGAGGACCAGGTGGGTCAGGGTTCCTACTCCTGTGCTCTGCACAGTTTGGGTGGGGAGGTTTCACAATGATGATGATGATGATGATGATGATGATGATGATGATGATGATGATGATGATGATGATGATGATGATGATGATGATGATGATGATGATGATGATGATGATGATGATGATGATGATGATGATGATGATGATGATGATGATGATGATGATGATGATGATGATGATGATGATGATGATGATGATGATGATGATGATGATGATGATGATGATGATGATGATGATGATGATGATGATGAAGGTGCCACCTCAGGTTGGCTCATTCCTTACACTGGACAAAATTCACACCTGTGTGGTGGGTGAGTACACAGGTGCGGGATAGGAAGGCCCAAGGAGCCTGAGAGGTGTCATAGTCATAGGTATATTGATGACAGAGCAGGTCCCCAGGCACATGGCTGGACCAGTTATGGGGAGATGGCGAGCTGAGAACAGGGGATAAGACTGAAAGTGAGGGAGGCCAGGGGAATTTAAACAAAGTCATTTTTTCCCAACAGGTTCACATATGCCTAGAAGAGCTGGAGGTGAGTTTTGGCCTCCCCCCGCCCCCAAAGCTCAGTCCCCAGGAGTTTGGCTGGGCCAGGTTATTGGGGTGAGCTTTGGCTCCCTTGGAGGTCACAGTGGGGACTACAGACCACAGCAGGCAGGAGCAGGTCTGCACCCTCCACACCCTCCTCTCCTCAGAACAACTTCAATGAGGCCGTGCTGGATACCGTATTTGCTCACTGTGAGAACAACGACCAGGTGAGTCTGAGGCTCCTGGCACAGCCCTCTGTGCTTCCCCTTCACCCCTAATCGCTTGTGATGTTGGCGCTGCCATGTGCGTACACAGCCCCTGAGTGGGGTGGGGGTGGAGGGTGGCTGGCACCAGCTCCTGACCTCCCCTCCCAGCACGCAGTGGCCAAAGCCCTGCCCTCAACTTCATGCGTTAATGAGGAACCCCCTGGGCCTGGTGCTGGCCTCAGAGGCCAGTCAGCCAACAAGCAGGTACGACCATCGTGGTTTAGCTACAAAGGGGAGTTGGGGCGCTGAACCTCCGCGAGAAGTCTTTGTCTGTGGACTGCAGGCAGCTCCCTGTGTGAGCTTCTGTCAGGACCTGGTCGGACCCTACACATGCCCCATCCCCACAGGAATCTACTCCCTTACTTCCGGAGCAGCAGCAGGAACTGCGTAACAGAGTCCGAAGTAGAATCAGCCCTGGACAGAAACCAGGCCCGGAGTGGGACTCTGAGCCAGAAGGATCGCAGAACCAAAGTCCAGGTGATTTTGAGAGGATGTTATTAAAGCTGGGGACAGTGAAATGAGGAGGACTTAGGATAGAAGAAGCACCAGCAGAAAGCCTAGGCAGGGCTGCTTTGGCTTTCTGGAAATTTAGAGAAAAGGGGGGCCTTGGAAACAGGTTTGGGGGGGGGTCAGTCCAGACAAGCTGCTGCTGCCCACTGCTCCTCTGGTTGCTTGTCTCCCGGGTACCCAGAGTTTTAGGCGATGCCTGCCTGAAAGGGAAGAAAGGTGTGGGCTTGCTTCTGGGTCCTTTGTCTTGAGGTTTAAAGGCTGGGAGTTTAGAGGAGGTCTTCAGGAAGGCTCTCATTAGAATATTCATCAGCTTTATGCTAATGTGCCAAAATGAGATGTGTTCCTTTAACTTCAGCTGTGCTTGGGTGTGGTTGGCACTAACTGGATTTCTGCTATTTCCCTGAGTGGAGTGATTTAAGCTCTTTATTCCCTGTTTTGGGGGGAGAAGTATGAGCCACTTAGTCTTTTTTTTTTTTTAATCCTCACCTGAGGATATGTTTATTGATTTTGGATTGGAACGGGGAGAGAGACAGTGCCAGAAAGAGAAAGAGAGAGAGAGAGAGAGAGAGAGAGAGAGAGAGAGAAACATCTATGTGTGAGAGAAACATTAATTGGTTGCCTCTTGCATTTGCTTTCAACAGGGATTGAACCTGCAAGCTAGGTATGTGCCCTGACTGGGAATTGAACCCACAACCTGTCTTGGTGTACGGGACGATGCTCTAAACCATTTACTACTCTTGTGTCCCTGCTTAGGGAAGACAGGATTTTGCAATGTACTAGTATTAGTTGGCTGTAAAGGCTTGGTCGTTTAACCATCTGCCTCAGTTTCCCTATTCCACTTGCCCTGGCTTCCTAACTAGTCTCTCTCACAGGGGCCCAGAAGCCTGGGGAGAGCTTTTGTGAATGGATACTGAGATTGTTCCAAGAGATGCTAAGTCAATTGCAGAAGACGTGGCAGGACGTGCTGGCCTGGGTGCAGGAGAAGTGGGCCTCCCTTGTCAGCGTGGTGAAGTCCATCTGGAGTGCGATTATGAATTTCTGCTCCAGTGCAGCACAGTCCTTCTCAAGTTTATTTCAGGTCTCAGGAGTCCCATTGTGCTAGGGGCAGGGGCCTGACAAAGAAGAATTACTGAGTAGGCTGAGGGGCAGGGACCATGGGAGAGAAAAATTGCTAATTATCTCGCTAGAAAAGCAATGTTATGATTAAACCCAGCCAGGTGTGACCGTGCTCATAAATTTTATGTAAACTTTTTACCCTGCCAGTACCAGGAACAGCTAATGAACCGCTTTGCAGTTTGTTTTTCTTTTGAAATACTTTGAAGTTTTTGCAGATAAAAGGTCTTGCTGTACTCTCGGTCAGCACTGCAAGCTGTGATGCTCCTATGGGACACGGCTGCAGTCAGCTGGCCAGCTTAATAAAGGCTCTTAAAATTTAAATTCTGAGTCGGTGGTCTATCTCGCTGAGCTAACCCATAACACCATGAGGGCCTGGAGGAGCTCAGTCACACCTCCCAGGCCTTGGGTTCCCCCTTCTCAGAAAGAATCTTCTAGAGTAACATTTGCTTTCCTGCTCACCCTTGACCCATCCTCAACAACCTCCCTCACTTCCACCCTGTTCACAGCCTCTCCATCTAGCTTGCCTGGGTTTCCTTCTCTTGCTACAGCATTTTAATAAATGTTGGTTGGCCTGGGGAGGGGGCAGGAGTGGGTGGAGGAGGTCAATGGGGAAAAGGGAGCTCTGTAATACTTTCAACAATAAAGGTAATTTGCTTCAAAAGTTGATTGAACCAAGTTGAGTGCCCGTCTGGATGGGTGGCAGGGTGCTCAGTGGTTACAGGGAGAGGCTGTGCAGCAATCAGATGGATCTAGGCCTGGATCTCAGCTCTGGTGAGAAAGGAGAAGCCACCTGACCTCTCTGATCTGTAGACAGGGCCCTGGTCACACTGGCCACGGACTTATAATGAGCACATGAGGATTTCAGCCTGTGCACGGCTTCTCACAGGGCCTGGCACATCGTAAGTGCTCCATAGCTGCCCTTTCCTGAACGCAAGGAGCTCAGGCCGGAGGCACTTTGGCCCCTTTTCTTTTCCTGACCACCCTCTTTGGGCCTTCGTCACTGGGGCAGGGCTAGACCTCTGAATCTCCTTCATCTTTCTTCCAAGATCAGAGGCCCAGGGACTAGGGCAGTGGTGGAGGTAGGGAGCAGGCAGAGTGCACTTCTGTGTGAGCCTGGAAGGAAGGCAGAGTAGGGAGGGGGCAGCCATCTGATCTCTGGGCTGGCCACCTCACCTGGGACTGCAAATGCAGAGACTGGGGAGAGCCTGGAGCAAGGCCTGAGGCCTGAGGGGGGCAGCACTGCTCACCATCTGTGAGGCCAGATGCCTCCCATCCCCCAGCCCTGACTCCCTGCTCCAAGCAGATGCATAAAGACTAGCTTTGCATTCAGGGGTGACAGGCAGCAAACAGCAGCTGCTGAGATGAGATGAAGGTGGGGCTGACCTGAAGCGGGAAGAAAAGGGAGGAAGTGGGCCTGATGAAGAGCAAGCAC